AATGCCTCTGAATCTCATGCTCCTCACAGAACTTCTGAAACTGCGAATCTGTGTACTCTGTGCCATTATCAGATCTCAAATACTTGATCTTTCTGCCAGTTTGGTTCTCCACCTCAGCTTTCCACAGCTTGAATTTAGAGAAAACTTCAGATTTCTGCTTCAAGAAATACACCCAAACTTTTCTGGAGAAATCATCAATGAAGGTAACGAAATACTGAGATCCTCCCAATGACAACTCCCTAGTAGGGCCCCATACATCAGAATGCACATAGTCAATAATTCCTTCAGTTTTGTGCTTTCCAGTCATAAAACTGACTCTAGTCTGTTTTCCAAGAATACAAAACTTACAAAGATCGAGCTTGCAGCTTTTAACCCCATGCAGCAGATTTCTTCTATGCAATTCTTTCATCCCACGCTCACTGAGATGACCTAGACGCATATGCCATAGCTTTGTACTGTCATTATCTGACTCAACAAAATGAACTCTACCTACAACTGTACTCCCTAACAGTCTGTAGATATTACCTGCAGTCAACTTTCCTTTCATCACCGTCAGTGCACCTTTAACAATTCTGATGGTTTCCCTATCCTCATCAGCCTTTGGAATAAAACCATTTCTGTGTAGAGTGCCCAAGGAAATCAAATTCTTCTTCAGATCTTGAATATGTCTGACATCACATAACGTTCTAACTGTGCCATCATACATCTGAATTCTGACTTCTCCAATACCAACTATATTGCAACATCTATCATCACCCAAATAGACTGAGCCAGAATTAGTTGACCTGTATGAAGTAAACCACTCTCTGTTAGGTGTTATGTGATAAGAGCACTCTGAATCAAGAATCCATGCATCCGTGAACTGAGTTGATGAAACTGAGAGCATATCGCCATCACTGCAATCTGAATTTTCATTCTGCACCACATTCACAGACTTTGATGAAGTATCACCTTTCTCCCCAGTCTGCTTCTTCAGCTTTGGACAATCTCGCTTCATATGACCTGGCTCCTTGCACTGGTAGCAATGAATTTCCTTTTTGCCTCTAGACTTTGATCTGGAATTTCGCCTTCCAGATCCCTCCTTCTCTTTCTTCCTTCCACGATCCTGCTTACTCTTCACATATAAACTGTCTCCGTGAAAGCTTCCCCCTGCATTCTGCTTCCGCTGGTTGTGAGCCAACAACGCTGCAGTAATCTCATCCACTTTGATAGTTTCTTTCCCATATATCAGAGTAGTCACCAGGTGTTCATAGGAAGAGGGCAACAAACATAACAAAATCATCGCTCGATCTTCATCCTCAATACTCACATCAAGTCGTGATAAATCAGTGATTATTTGATTGAAGCCATTCACGTGCTTCGTCGGATCAGAACCTTCCTGCATCTTCAGCCCATACAACTTTTGCTTCAGATACAACTTGTTCGTCAGAGATTTTGCCATAAACTGAGTTTCCAATTTCTTCCAAACTTCTCCTGGAGATTTCAGATTCATCACGTGATACATAATTTCATCTGCCAGACATAGGCGTATCGTCGTTGCCGCTCCCTATTGCAATTCTTCCCAATCTTCATCCTCCATGGCATCTGGTTTTGCTGCCCGCAGAGCTTTCAAGATTCCCTGTTGCGCCAACAGATCTTTCGGTTTGCCACTTTTCTCAGGCTTGGAGGAGGAGGGTGAACATGAGGATGAGAGTGCTAAAGATGATGGAGAATCTTCAAATGTTTGACTTGATTTTGGCATTGATTGTGACTTAGAGAAAGTTTTTCTTTTTTTTTTTTTTTTTTTTTAAAACATTGTCGATCTTGGAACTTGCTGCGACTATGTCACTCTATTGAGGAGGATAATGGACTACTGACTGATGTGGGAAGGTTAATGAGGAGGAATTTATGATCTTCTTGTTAAAATTGTAGCTCTGATATCAAGAAGGAAGATTGACGGAGAAAAAGAAGAACCCGGATTGGGGTTGTAAACAAGTCAAGCTTGCTTGGCTCGTGAAAGGTGTGTTTGTGTTCAGCTCGATTTATATATTCTAATTCATATTTTGCTCGTGTTCGGCTCGAAATTAGCTTATTTAAAATAATAAGAAAAATAGATAGTGTATTGGGTTTGAACCTGCACCATTTCTATGCAACAAAATACGCAAAACCAAATAACCATACGAGTTGTTGTGATATAAGCTCAAACATACATACATACATACATACATACATAATATAATATAATATAATATAATATAATTTCTTTATTTTGAGCTAAGACAAGCTAAACACAATTGAATAAAGGATTGTTCGTGTTCGGCCCATTTATAATTCAAGTTAAAAAATTCGTTTATGTTTGACTCGCAACATAAGTTGTTCACGAACAACGACTTTTTTTTACAGCCCTAGCTAGGACAGAGAATAAGCCCGATGAAAGCTAGGCGAACCTTCACTATATTGTATTTATAATTTCCCTTTTTACTTACCTACAAACTCACTTCCTGATAATGTTCTTATAGGTTTTAGGCCAATGGTATTTTGGACTTCACACCGGTAACAGAATGGTGTATAACTTCTCCGGTTTGTTACTATTGCATTGCGTTCCTCTTTCCTGTGTTGTGGCATAGATGATCTTTGCGGTGGATCATGTGAGGATGTTTGAGATGTGAGGTCCTTTAATAACAATACATTGTAATTTCAACTCAAAACTTACCGTACTTCAAAACATAAGTCAAAAAAGCAAAATAAACTTCATTTGGATTTGGAAAAAAACATAATCTTTCATCTATTTGAAATATAAGACCAAGGGGAACCAGCTTTATAAGAAAGACGTAACTTCACACAATATCTAGGGGATTTATTCAGGTCAGATTCAGAAAAAAATATTGCAGATTGCATATCCATTTCGTTTCAATGTGGTCAGAGGTTAAAAGAACAAGGAAATTTGCTAGACCATTACAAATTGATGCCGGGAAACGGTTTCAAAGTAACTTGCTTGAAGCTCTGATCGGAAGCAGAAGGGAGAACCAGGTGCTAGGGCTATCAGTACCATGAATAGAACGAAATTAGCGATGAATCGATCAGAATCTCGATCATTGGTGGAAAGGCCCGCGGCTTCAATGGCGAAAAGCATACTCTGCACCCTCTGTAGCGTGCGGAGTTCCTCCATTCTTTTCTGACGCGAACTCTCACTTGCACTGCAAGGGTTTTTGCTTCGAAGGATCAAACCTCGAAGACCAGGAGGCCACTAGAATTAACTGTGGTAACCACAAAGCAGAAAACGCAGCTCAAAAAGGGATGATTTACATAAATACCATCCAATTCATATGTATTTACAAGTCTAAAACTCATAAATTAAATCTTCACATTTATACCAATTAAAATGTGGATGAAAATATGTACTTCAACTTTTGAAATAATTTTTTATGTAATATGAAATTTCAGAATGGTGTAGATTAGAAAAAAAAAAACATTTTCGTATTCCATATGAATTAATTCGGTCGTATTTATGTGATCATTCCCAAAAAGTTAAATTGCAACCCCTCAAATAATAAAATGTATTCTAAAATCATTCTTGCTAATGAGATTCTTGTAATTTTAATTCTTCTAATTGTTCTAAGTATTTATGTACTAAAATAGATTTAAAAATGCTTTTGATTTAGGGTCAGTTTGGGGCAGTTACAGCTTATTGAATAATCTGCTGATAAGTTGATTAAAAATAATTTGTCGATAAATTAAGTGTGGTGACTACTATAAATTTTGATTTTTTTTGGAAAAGTCAGACCGTAGCCAGAAAGCTGTCATCGCACCTAGATAGGTGCGGTGTGAAAATACTGTTTCCAGCGTTTTGAAAACACATAAGCTGCCGAAACAAAGGTTACACCCAAATATGTCAGGTGTGTTTTCAAAACGCCACCGCACCCAATAAACTGCCCAAAACAGACCCTTAGTTAACAGAATTTTCTTCGTAATAGAATGTATATTTTGGGATTTATAACTAAGTATATCAGCTGGATCAAAGCTTGCACCGATGATATTCATTTCTCCATAAATATAGACAGTGAGATCCATAGTTTCTTTCATACATCTTCTGGTCAACAAACCTTTTCACCATTGTCATGGATGTTTTCTTAAATTTGTTGATTATAATTAGAATTCCACTGTCTATGTTGATCTTGCTTGCAATATAAATCACCTAATCTATGTTGATGACCGCTTGGTCTTTGGCAAAGCCTCTACTTTATATACGGATGGGCTAAATAAAATTCTTATTGTGTTTCAGCATGTCTCCAATCTTCATGCTACAAATGCCAAATCTTTCATATGCTTTTCTAAAGCAGTATTTTTTTATGGAGAAGGTGCAAGAATGAGAGACTTCAGGTTTTTCAAAAAAGTATCTTTCTTGGAAATATCTTGGCATCATGATTCACTCTTCTAGACTAGCAGCTTATAACTCTCTTTTCAACATTCAAAAAACTAATGAAACTTTGAATGGATGGAAACAAAGATTGATTCTAGCTCATTACAAACATTATTCATAGCTTTTTATACTACTGGTTCAGATCTTCCACCTTACATAAGGGTTTAAAGAAAAAAAATCACTTCTCTCATCAACACTTTTCTCCATTTTGTAAACTTTAATGATAAAATTCACACCATATCCTGAACTTTTTTTACAACTTTATTATCAGTTTTACAAAAAAAAAATTACAATCGTCCCAAATAGGAGAAAATGAAACGCACGTCCTGAAGATGGTTTGGATTCAGTCACGCCGCTGCGTATCTCACGGCATCCTATCCAGATCATCGTTCAAACATATAGTCACTACACATAATATTTGCTCCCCAAATAGACTCTAAAACATATGGGGTGATTGAAGAAGACGAAGCACAAATAAAGTAGAAGCAAAAAAATTCCAACTATAAAATACATAGCCAATGATTAAATCATTAAGAGAAAATTAATCATTAAAAAAATTCATTTTTGACAAGAAAAAAAAAAAAGAGAAGAATAATGAGCAGTCAACTTCCCATACAAAATTCCTTTTATTCAATTCATGTTTTTAATAAACAATATACCCCTCAAATAAGAGAAAATAAAACCAAATTGAATCCTCACAAAATCAATTGGTAAAAGTTTAAATTTAAAAGGTTAGAGATGAAGAAGACTTGTGTTTCAGATCCGATTATTATCTACACTCTGGACTTCAAGTTCTTGGCTTTCCTTCTTCCCCAGAAATGGAAAACCAGAGCCAGCTGGAACTCCCTCCTTTCCAGAAACCTTCTTGCTTTCAAACAGCTTTCCTGCTTTCCCAATTGCTAGAATTAACTCGAGCTGCTTCTGTTGCTGTTCCTGTAATAGACAGCAGAAAGAGAAAGGCAGTTGAAGCATGTTGTGTGTTTCCAATTGAAACTTTTTCTGAATATGAAGCACTTGAATCCATGGATATGTGCTGTAGCTTTATAAAACCCCCATAACAAGAGGAAAAGAAACTCAATTGTGGACAGAATCCATGGTGGTCAGAAAGAGCAAACCAGACCAAATTATCAAACAACTGCATCAAGCAAAGCTGAGGACATTCAAAACAAAGCAAATCACTAATAGAGGATAAGTAAAAAAAGCCCCGCTGTCAGTTCTTAAACATTGCCAAGGTTCCACATCCTCAAATAATCAGCAATACTATGCTATATTGAAGGATTTCTAGCTGCATATCCGTTATGCTGGTATGGTGGCTTGTTTCACACTTCGGGTTTCAGCTAAACTAGGACTACTGATCTAAGGTTGAGAAGAGGTGATGGATGTAGATATGAATTTTAACGGAAGTAAAAATTTTAGATTTTGAAGATTTGTGATTAAGATTATGAATTGAAATTATGATTTGACTTTGCTACCAAATGACATCATTCTGAGCTGCTTACACTATGTATGAGGGGCGGAACAAACGGTTGGAATTTATGAACAAATGACGAGGTTTTGAAAGGCGAAGATGTAATTCCGCGGCCATCCAGGTAACTAACAACGGGAAGGTAGCAGGATGTGCCGATAACCCAATGCTCTCAACGATGATACGATGATAGAGAATAATCCATCACCTGCACTAAGAGCAAGGACACAACACTCCTTAGAGATGAGAAATATGAGGGAAGAATCTCAAAATAGCACAAAATAACAAGAACAAGCTATCAAAACCAGTCCAAAACAAGCCAAATACATAATAGATGCGCAAAGAAACCCAAAATCTAATTAAACAAATCAAGGAAAGAGCCATTACAGCCAGTTGAACCACCCAAAGGGTGGATCAACCTGAACAGGTTCGACATTGGACCAGTTCCTATGTGGGACACACTCCCGCTTCCATTCCAGAAGCTCCTGCATTACATACCATATGTAATATGGATGGAAGTTGCTCAAATTGATTTGCAAAGAGCTAGCTAACATCGCGAGCAACACTTGACACGCTCCAAGTGCAATGTAGTAGCGAGTATACGTGGTGTATATATAATATACGGAATTGAGCTTCGTGTGCCGATTTCACAAGAGATGAGATGAATCCAAATTCATAGAAGTTCTAGTTTATTAATGTCAGTCCTAGCTTGAAATATTGGAGTTCTCAAAGTTCAATAAAGTTCCTATCCTAATAATTAAAAAAAAAAAGAGTCTAGCCTAGCTAGCAAGAGGAACTTCTAAGAGATTCAAGATTTGAAAGATTTCCCCCTTGAATTGGTCTAGTGGTAAATACAATTGAAATGATTAAAGCCCAGTGTCAATCAGGAATAAAGTCTTTCTTATCCCCGTCCGGTAGTCTAAGAAAGATTGGTTGTCAAGGGTATAGTTCCTTGAATCCCATGATCAGCCGAACAATATCATCTCGCTATTGATTGCATAAACTCAACGACAATAATCTATTCGAGTGAGTTTATGTGGTTAACCATTTTCGTTCTACAAATTATCCTTCTGGATCTCAGAGTTTACAAATGATTTTAACAACTCCACTGACCATGCATAATGTAAATAAAGTTTAAAAGTTAACACAAAACTTTTCCGAAAGTTCAACTGCAAAATCAAAAAATAAATCTCAATTCGATTCTACTACATTTCCAATTCAAGGAAGAAACAAAGAATTTACTCACTCGTTGTAAAACTCAGCAAAACAAATTTTGAATTAGGTTCAGAGATCATACACTAAGTTTTACATAAAAGTCCAGGTAAAAATGCAAACTGAAGTATACTTATCCCCCTCCTTATCAAAGCAGAAATGATGAAATGAAAACAAACAACGGTTACGCCCTTTGATCCTCTCAAACTGTCTCCTTTCTTCTCTCAAATATTCCTTGCAAGCTTTTTTGGCCTTCTCTTTAAGTGCTCCACGCTAAAAAATGGTAGGAAAGTCGGGAAAAAAGTCCCCAAACTTCGTGTCCATCATTTTTATAATTCTCCCGACGAACAGACGAATCCCAACCACAGAAACCGTCAATTTCATAACCAACGCTTAGGTGCTAGGAACAGTTTTTGGTCTAAGACATCAGGGCACCAAAGCGCCCAGGTCGTGGCACCTAAGAGCTGGCAGTGTGGCGTTGAAGATGCGACCTAATTTTTTGGGCTCTCGGGTTTTTTTGGGTAAAATCTGGAATGAACTGATGCCTAGGTGCCCAATGTTTGGCGCCTGGTGTTATGACGCCTACTTTCTAGCCTCCGGAAGACTACTTTCTAGGCACTCTATTTGCTACTTGATTGGACTTGTAGCTGTCGTCTAAGCGCCTCACCACTTAGCTCAAATTTGCAATATTTTAAGCTTCATTTGATCTCCTTCCTTGAATCATGCAACCCAACATCAGAACCTTCCACAAAACATAATATAAACATAAAAAAAAAATGTGGAATAAAGATGAAAAATAAGATCACACTGCATACACATGTCAAAATCTCCTAAACTCCAAGGTTATTTGCCCACAAGCACCTTCAAAGCTTAATATTGGTTCCATAGAGTTTCATAGAGTAATGGGCAATAGTTATCAACCATAATCTGAATTTCAAGGATATGCATGCATAAGTAAACAAATGAATTTCTTCAAATTTTTCCCTTAAAGTAGTTAGTTTTTCATAAGCTATCAGAATCTATATATTTGTTCTAAAACTCTTATCGGAAGCTTTAATTAATACAAATGGATTTGACAATTGTGAAAGTTTAGCCACCCATCAATTCAAGTTGATCCAGTTTTCAATTTATAAGCACAAAAATTGATTTAGGTTGGCGATGTAAATGAATCATTAACTTAAAATAAAAGATATTGAAACCAAATTTTATGTAGAGCTGCACCTCAAGCTTCTCCTCAAAAATACTTTCAACAATTTTTTTTTTTGTTCATGAACCTTGATTTTTTTTTTCCGTTGTTCAAATTATTAGTAGTGGAGGAATGCATAGTAGTAATAGCTCTAGTGACAGAAGTGTGACTTTGGGTGATCAAATTATTAAAAGGTGTGAACGATTTAGATATCATGGGTCTGTTGTTCAAAGCGATGGTGATATAGATGGGGATGTTAATAGTAGAATTCAAGTTGGTTGGTTGAAGTGGAGGAATGTTTCGGGCCTTTTGTGTGATAGAAAAGTACCGCTAAGACTGAAAGGAAAATTTTATAAGATGGTGGTGAGACCTGCAATGCTCTATGGCGTTGAATGTTGGCCTTTAAAAGAGAAGCATAATAATAAGTTAAGTGTTGCCGAGATGAGAATGATTAGGTGGATGAGTGGCTTTACACTTAGAGACAAAATGCAAAATGAATATATTCGTGATAGGGTTGGTGTAGCTCCTGTGACGGACAAAATTAGAGAAATTCGTCTTAGATGGTTTGGTCACATTAAACGTCGACCATCTGATGATCCGATTAGGAGAGTAGATGTTTTAGATTCGACTTGTGTTAAGAAAGGCAGAGGTAGACCTAGGAAGACTTGGACTTATTTAATTAAAAATGATCTTAATTTACTGGAACTAAATGAAAATATGACACTAAATAGGACGCAATGGAGAAAAAGGATTCATGTAGCCGACCCCACGTAGTGGGATTAAGGCTTTGTTGTTGTTGTTGTTGTATGAACCTTCCTATGGATTTACTTTTCTTCAATTCCAATTTTTTTTCTATTTATTCCGCTTTTTACTCATCACTGATGATTACATATATAGATTAGCTCTTAAAAGATTATGAATTCCATTATCCCTTCTATAAATTAACTTCTCATTATATGTCTCTCCCAATTCAATAATTGTAACTTATAAATTGATAGCCTTAATTTCTATTTAACAGGGACTAGACTTTCAAATTTTGGTAATCCATTTGTAATTAATTAATCTCGGAACAAGATGACCTAAAATTGACAATATAGATCCGATTTGCTTATGTCGAAAATCAAAGTTGAAGGTCCAACCTATTCAAATTCCTCATCTAGGCTCATATTCCGTCTATCAGGTAATCTTAAATGTTCAGATTGCCACAGCTTTTAACATAAACTCGCCTCTAAAAAGGTATAAAATCAAGTTCATGAACCCTCCTATGGATTTACTTTTCTTCAATCCCATTTTTTTTTATATTTATTCCGTTTGTTACTCATCACAGAGGATTACCATATATGGATTAACTCTTACAAAATTTTGAATTCCACTACCCCTTCTATAAATTAACTTTTCATTACATCCCTCTCCCAATTCAATAATTGCAACTTATAAATTGATAACCTTACACTCTATTTAACTGGGACTAAAATTTCAAAATTTATTAATCCATTTAGAACTGATTAATCTCACAACTACACGACCTAGAATTGACTATATAGATTTGATTTGCTTATGTCAAAAATCAAAGTTGAAGGTCCAACGTATTCAAATACCTCATCTAAACACCCCCGCCAACACAACAGGATGAATTAAACAAGAACGAATATAAATGATGAGCACAACATGTAACATGAATAACGAAACTCAACAATAAAACCTATGTAGACATATAAATTGCCACCAAAATAAGTACATAAATGATAGTGAATTGCAACATCATCTTAGAGCATAGCACTAATAGAAAAATGATATTGAAGCACAACAACACACGCTACAGGAAAGTTTGAAAATAGCGACACTTATTTGCATCAGATTTTTCCGACACGATTTTTTTCTCTGATTTGCGGCTCAAAAACGTCGGAAAATTGTTTTGAAATTAGCAAAGAATTTTTTCTCTGTTTCGCCTTCAATAATTCGACGTAAAAGATATTTAAAATGCGTCGAATACTTCAACAATGATGTGACGGAGTTTACATTGGATTTGCGTCAAGTAAAGCGAAGCAAGTACTACACAAAAGCATTGATAATATCATTCGCAAAGTAGACGATATGGTCGACGCACATGATCTAAAATACCAATTCCCGCTCATCTTATTTCATTTTCATCTTCACGCCCTTGAAACAGTTGTCAAAATTGAGCTTGGATGTATAGATGGGGATGTTATTAGTAAAATTCAAGTTGGTTGGTTGAAGTGGAGGAATGCATCTGATTTGGTTCGAAGTGATGGTGATATAGAAATGAATGTTAGTAGTAGAATTTGTGTTTATTGGTTGAGGAGGAATGTATCGATGGGTGATCTTTTGTTCAAAGTGATGGCGATCTAGATGGGGTTATTAGTAAAATTCACTTTGTATTGTTGAAGTGGAGGAATGTTTTGATTGGGTATATTGTTCAAAGTAATGTTGATATGGATGGAGATGTTATTAGTAGAATTTAAGTTGTTTGGTTGAAGTGGAGGAGTACATCGAGTTTTGTTCAAAGTGAAGATAATATAAATGGAGATTTTATAATTAGTAGAGTTTTCATTGGTTGTTTGAAGTAAAGGAATGCATCCAGTTTTGTTTGAAGTGATGATGATATAGAAATGTATGTTATTAGAGGAATTCACGTCTGTTGATTGAAGTGGAGGAATGCATAGATTGAGTCTATTACTTAAAGTTATGGTGATCTAGATGGCGTTCTTATTAGTACAATTCACTTTTTTTAAGTGGAGGAATTCATTGATTGGGTTTGTTGTACAAAGTGATGGTGATATGCATGAGGA